GGTGTTCTTGTGGGACATCTTCTCAACCCAGTGATAGTGGAGATTAGGGAAGGGGTGGGATAGTGTGGTTCAAGGTCCTTTGAAGGTGCTGGTGTTACAGTTCCCCAGATCCTGAGGGCCTGGCAGTGTTGTGCTGCATTATAGTTTGGAAGATTTATATGTTGGTCCTTAAACAGGTGCAGCTGACAAAGGATAGTATTGGAGTAGTGGATTGTGATGCAAGTAGTGGTGGGGGGCCATTTCTTCCCGTCTCCTTTTAACTTCTTCTTTGTTATAATTAAGTGGTACTTTGCATTCCTGTGAAGCCTTCTGTTCCAGGGTGGAATTGGAGCTGAGAGGGCTAAGTGGTAGTAGGAGGAGTGGGTAGCCAACAAGGTTGGATTATCCATTTAAATCATATAGATACTGCGGGAGAGGGAGCAGAGACACTAACAAAACAACCCTGGTGATTACCAGCAAAGTTGTGAACATGTTGTCTCCCTAGTTTTGTCCTAATAATTTTCCCTGCAGTCTTGTTGCCACAGGAAAGGTGTTGGGTCAGAGTTGGAAGTTATTAACATTTTTCGAAGATCAGTTATAATACATTGTGACGTTTTAATAATTAAACGTAAAGACTAACTACAGAATGTTAGCATCCTTCATTTTAATATTGCATTTGGCCTTTCATGCAATCGAAGAACAAATTGGTAGCACTCAACTGTGCAGAAACAGATGCCTTGTGCGTAGAGATAGGCCTGCACCACAACCCTGAATCCAATCACTCCCAAAATTAATGAGGATAAAAACAGGTCTCCAAATTTTGTTGCTGGGCTTTCCTTGTCTAATAAGCCAAACCAAAATCCTGGATCCAAACACTCACATTATTGTGAGGGTTTGAAACACAGATCCAAATATGGCACAGTCCCATCTCTATTAAAGCCAATGTTTGGAGAAATGAATTCCTTAAAGAAGTAGCTAAGCATTACAAAACATTAATTATACACTGTAGAAACATCTGTCTGTTGTAAAGGGGAGATACTGTACCCAGCTACTGCTCTAATTACAGTGGCTCATTTATACTGTACGGTATGTTTCTTGTAGGAGAGACGAGGCCTTCAATAGGAAATCTGTTCTACTAACAGGTTTGTTGATTACCTGGTACAAACAAGTTTTAGTCTGGAACAGATGTATTGACCATAAATTAATTTGTCTGTTCAGCAGGTTTATTTGTGTAGTTATACAGAGATTCATCATATTTAATCGTTTGAATATATGGACGTTTTCAGTCATTTATCAGGTTTGTCCCTGCAGCCATGGTATTTATTTGAAAGAGTTTCATTGTACTAAGCAGAGAAATGCAGAGGCTGGGGCACAGTTTATGTATATTTTTAACCGGCATGGCATACATCAATGTACGTATGATTATGGTTCAGGATATGGTAGGTAGAGATTGTTGAATGATTTGTTATTAATAGTTTTCATTAAGGGCTATACTGAACCTTTAGATTCAGTCCTGAGTATGAGGCAACGTGCAACTGCACTGCCCCAGAAAAGAATTGTGAGTCACAATTCCTCCCCTGTCCTATTCTTGCTCTGTTGACTGGCACAAAGGAGAGGCAGAGCCATGGCTCCTCCCACTTCGCTGCTGGGTTGTGGGAGGCAGGATGCAAAATGCAGCTTCTTACTTTCTTCCTTCTCCACAAGCCATGATCAGAGTAGGTTCTATGAGATCATCAGGGGCGGCTCTAGGCACCAGCAAAGCAAGCACATGCTTGGGGCAGCCCATTTGCCGGGGCAGCAGGGATCCGACAGGGGGCCCTGGGAGCTGTAGTTCCTTGGTTAGCTCCCTGCCTATAGAGCCAGCCCTGGAGCAGGGAAAGAACTACACTTCCCAGCATTCCCTTGGCCACTACCAACAGGAAAGAGGGGGAGGGAGTGAGGTAGCTGAGACCTCATGCTGCAGCCTGCTGTGAATGGAAAGCTGCGCTGTGAGTAGGGATACTATATTTTAACATTCAAAAAATAGGACACTCCACAGGGAGAGCGGGTAGCCCCACCCTGCCACCATCCACTCCCTCCGACTGTCCCCCACAGAAACCCCAACCCATCCAACCCCTCCTGATCACCCCTGCCCCTAACTGCCCCCCCGGACCCCACCCCCTATCTAAGCGCCGCTGCTCCTTGTCCCCTGATTGCCCCCTCCCGGGACCCCTGCCCCTAACTGCCCCTTGGGACCCCACCGCCTATCTAAGCCTCCCTTCTCCTTGTCCCCAACTGCCCCCTCCTGAGACCCCCCCAACTTCTGCCCTAGGACCCCACCCCCTACCTGTCCCCTGACAAACCCCCGGGACTCCCATGCCTATCCAATCACTGTCTGTCCCCTGACTGCCCCCCCAAACCTCTGACCCATCTAACCCCCCCTTCTCCCTGCCCCTGACTGCCCCCCCCGAACCTCCGCCCCAGCCAACCCCCCAGCCCCCTTACTGTGCCACTCAGACCAGCGTGTCTGGCTCCCCGCAGCACCAGACACACTGCTGCATATATGTTGCCATGCTCCCCCGTGGAGCCACAGCCCCCCCCAGCACCTGCCTTCCAGATTTGAACACCTCAAAATTCAGGAGTGCTCAAACTCAGTTTGGGCAGCTGTTACTTCCTTTCTCCCAAATCAAATATACTGATCCACTGTAACTTGCTGTAGAAAAAATAGGATAAAATTGAACAAGAAATGCTTCCCAGTGGTTAGGACTGGAATTGCTATTTTCAACAGCCATTGCCTTTTTTGTTTGTTTGTTTGTTTGTTTGTTTAAAAGGAAGACAGTGATATTGCATGGGCAAATTCCCCATAGAAAGAAAGAGTGGAACAAAAGAATAATAAAGGCACCTCAACTTTTCCTCATTTATGTAGGACAGTCTTATAATATGCATCCAGATATCCTCCAATCACACAAGCTGAAAATTGTTCCACTTTACTGCAGTTCTGTAACCATATGGGAACCAATCCTGTCTGTGTTCTGTGCACATCTAAAATTCCTGCTGAATGACCTGCCGTGGGAGCGAGTTACTAGTGACCCAGGGCTGTGGCGGAAGGAGGGTGCAGGTGGCGGGGGGGGGGGGGGGGGCCCAGGGCTGGGGCGGCAGGGGGTGTGTGCGTGGGTGGGAGAGCCCAGGGCTGGGGCAGCAGGGGGGTGCGGCGAGGAGCCCACGGCTGGGACGGGGGCAGCAAAAATTTTTTTTGCTTGGGGGGGCAAAAAACCTAGAGCCGGCCCTGGCCATCATGCAGAGAGACGGGGGCTGCTCACTTCCTATTCCCCTCACAGAGTCACATAGATTAAGGGCATAATTCTATCCTAAGAATTTATCCCCTGTTTTGGTTAGCAAATCGTTATGAACTATTGCTGATTTTCTTAGAATGTATTTGTATAAACTATTCACTAAAAAGTTTGAATGAGTAACCTGATTTTGTGAACTAGTATTTTTGGCTACTCAGTGATTGGTCATTTAAGTTTCACGGTATTTTTTTTTTAATTCTCCCTGATTGGATTACTGAAAATCTTTAAATGAATAGTAAATTTTTGAATGGATAATTTATGAAAGTTTCAAGATTTGCAAACATATTCACAAATATTCATCAATTGCCTGAATACTTGGGAATAATGAATGATATGATCTCACAAATCACAGCAATCTGAATTCAGAGATTGCCAAAATAATATTAACAAATCCCTTGATTTACTGTTCTGTCGCTGGTAGTTGTATATGTGTCAGTTTAAAAAAACAACAACCCATCCACATCCCTTTAACTGCATAGTTACAAACTCACTGCCTTGTAAATATTTTCAAAAGTCCCCATCATCACTGATTTGTATTACTGAAGAAAGTGGAGTGCCAAGATGGGGAGAATGCGGTGTATAAGGTAACCATATTTTCAAAATAAAAAAAACAGGAACACTTTTGTGTAGACATTTTTTAGGGTCATGAAATAGTCATAGGAAAATCATTTTTTAAATGTGTGCCACTGTAGCTACTGCCAGCTTCTAGCTAGACAGTGAAATATGCAGGATTTCCCCCTCACCCCAGTAACATAGTGTTCTGAATGAATTTATCATGAAACATTAAACAAGTGTATTTAACATTCACTTTGAGCAAAGGAACAGCTTTGTGTATGTGTGATCATTCAACTTTGAAGAATTTGGCCCCCTCTGTCACTTTTTTCTCTGATACAAATGATAACTGCATAGCACAGTGTTTGTTACTTGTCTGTTCATCTTTCGAGTAATGCTGTGCAAAAGATGGGAGTTCCGTTTTGTAAAGATTTTTTTGGCTCTGAATCAGAGTGAAACCTGAAATTTTGGAAATGCTCTGTGAGGGAAAATTCCAGAAAAAAATTCATTTTGGATTGACTGAAATATTTTGTTTCAAAAATGTCATTACAGTCTGTTTCAACACTGGCAGAACTTTTATCCTATTTTCCTTCCAAAATGAAATTCTGGAACCAACCAACCAATTTTATGAAGCATTTTGGTTTCAAAGGAACCATATATTCCAATGGAATATGGTTCTGTCAAAGTTTCTCTGACCAGCTCTACCTCTGAGTCCACTATTTCTCTGTATAATAGAATGAGACATTAGTTGCATTTTTAGGCTTTTCTAATTATACATATTGTAGAGAAAAACTAAAGCTATACAAAGCAACAATGAGTCCCGTGGCACCTTATAGACTAACAAATGTATTGGAGCATAAGCTTTCGTGGGTGAATACATGCATGCATCTGACGAAGTGGGTATTCACCCACGAAAGCTTATGCTCCAGTACATTTGTTAGTCTATAAGGTGCCACAGGATTCTTTATTGCTTTTTACAGATCCAGACTAACACGGCTACCCCTCTGATACTTAAAGCTATACAGTTGTCCTGGATATCCCTCCTTCAGATACTAATTGTATCCATCCCCCACCAAAGAGGAAAACATGTCTGATTAAGATATAAAGTGAGTTTATGTCTTCTACTTCTGCCTTTAATAGGGATACTGAATATAAAGGACTACAACTCTCCCTGGATCAAGTGACAGCAACCAAGCCATCATTCTCATACGCAAATTCAACTCCAACCATAACGGACAATAGAAAGGGCAGCAAATCACGGCTCGCAAGCACGAAGTCAAAATCAAGGACATCACCGTATCCACAGGTAGCTGTCTTTGAACAACATGTTTATATTACAAAGCTTTCTTTACTGCATAACTTGATTTTGGCTGACTTTCAAGCAAGAAATTAGAATGGGCTGAGGAAAGTACCCCTCAACATGAGTAAAGGGTGGCAGAATTGGGTCCTTAGACTATAAGATCTTGAGGGCAGGGATGTGTTGTTAATTGTAAAATACCATGTACAGCATGGTGCAGTATCAATAAATCATCATCAATAATATATGGTGGGGATTTCATGGGGGAGGGACAAGTAGAGAGTTGAAAAAGCTTTTGTTATATTATTTTTGTTGTTTGGTATCTGGGGACTTTGAGTTGTGCCCATTTGAATGATCCAGTTATGGTATGGTCCTATTTTTTCTTAAACTGTTTTTCTAGCCCTACAATTATCAGGAGAAGGAAAGGCAGTAGGAAGCACATGAGTGGAGTGCTTGTGAAATGTGGTGAAATGTTTGCTAAAAGAAGTGAGTTTCTAAAGGGTTTTGGATGATATGGCTTGGTGAACTGGAGGAAGAAGGTTCCTCCAGGCACAAAGTTGTGAATGGGAAAAGGAAACACAGGCAGATGGTGTTAGGTTTCAATAGACTTTAATTCCCTTTTTTTCATATTCAGGCTTATATTTTAAAAATATCCCCTGACTATTGTATGGGGTCAAATTTCCAATGGATCTCCAAAGACGTGCTTGCAAAAATCTGTTCATACAACTCTTTGGCTGCACAGAACCCCATATTTGATCAGGAAAGTATGGTTTGTTGAGCATACAAACGGTTGTGGCTACCAAACATTGAGCCCAGTCCTGTGGGCTTTACTCACGTGCCCCAAGTGGAGATAGTTGCATGAGTAAGCGGTGATAGTCAGATAGTTGTGGATGCCTGCAAAAATTCCAGTTGAATACTTGGCCCATAGTGTTACCTCTTGATATGATCTCCCTGCAAGACCAATATTTGCAAAATTGGGTTCTTAAACTGAGGAGTCTGAGTTCATACTGTGGTGCTTAAATAAGTGGCCTGTTTTTCAGAAGTGCTGAGGACCCAGTAGTTTTAACTTACTGCAGTGAGAGCTGCTGGGTATCAAGCACTTTTAATCATAGAATCATAGAACCATAGAATATCAGGGTTGGAAGGGACCTCAGGAGGTCATCTAGTCCAACCCCCTGCTCAAAGTAGGACCAATTCCCAACTAAATCATCCCAGCCAGGGCTTTGTCAAGCCGGGCCTTAAAAACCTCCAAGGAAGGAGACTCCACCACCTCCCTAGGTAACGCGTTCCAGTGCTTCACCACCCTCCTAGTGAAATAGTGTTTCCTAATCCAACCTAGACCTCCCCCACTGCAACTTGAGACCATTGCTCCTTGTTCTGTCATCTGCCACCATTGAGAACAGCCGAGTTCCATCCTCTTTGGAACCCCCTTTCAGGTAGTTGTAGGCTGCTATCAAATCCCCCCTCATTCTTCTCTTCTGGAGACTAAACAATCCCAGTTCCCTCAGCCTCTCCTCATAAGTCATGCGCTCCAGACCCCTAATCATTTTTGTTGCCCTCCGCTGGACTCTTTCCAATTTTTCCACATCCTTCTTGTAGTGTGGGGCCCAAAACTGGACACAGTACTCCAGATGAGGCCTCACCAATGTCGAATAAAGGGGAACGATCACGTCCCTCGATCTGCTGGCAATGCCCCTACTTATACAGCTCAAAATGCTGTTAGCCTTCTTGGCAACAAGAGCACACTGTTGACTCATATCCAGCTTCTCATCCACTGTGACCCCTAGGTCCTTTTCTGCAGAACTGCTACCTAGCCATTCGGTCCCTAGTCTGTAGCTGTGCATGGGATTCTTCCGTCCTAAGTGCAGGACTCTGCACTTGTCGTTGTTGAACCTCATCAGGTTTCTTTTGGCCCAATCCTCTAATTTGTCTAGGTCCCTCTGTATCCGATCCCTACCCTCTAGTGTATCTACCACACCTCCTAGTTTAGTGTCATCGGCAAACTTGCTGAGAGTGCAGTCCACTCCATCCTCCAGATCATTAATAAAAATATTAAACAAAACTGGCCCCAGGACCGACCCTTGGGGCACTCCGCTTGAAACCGGTTGCCAACTAGACATGGAGCCATTGATCACTACCCGTTGAGCCCGACGATCTAGCCAGCTTTCTATCCACCTTACAGTCCACTCATCCAGCCCATACTTCTTTAACTTGGCAGCAAGAATACTGTGGGAGATCGTATCAAAAGCTTTGCTAAAGTCAAGGAATAACACATCCACTGCTTTCCCCTCATCCACAGAACCAGTTATCTCATCATAGAAGGCAATTAGGTTAATCAGGCACAACTTCCCCTTGGTGAATCCATGCTGACTGTTCCTGATCACTTTCCTCTCCTCTAAGTGTTTCATAATTGATTCCTTGAGGACCTGCTCCATGATTTTTCCAGGGACTGAGGTGAGGCTGACTGGCCTGTAGTTCCCCGGATCCTCCTTCTTCCCTTTTTTAAAGATGGGCACTACATTAGCCTTTTTCCAGTCATCCGGGACCTCCCCCGATCGCCATGAGTTTTCAAAAATAATGGCTAATGGCTCTGCAATCTCATCCGCCAACTCCTTTAGCACCCTCGGATGCAGCGCATCCGGCCCCATGGACTTGTGCACGTCCAGTTTTTCTAAATAGTCCCGAACCATTTCTTTCTCCACAGAGGGCTGGTCACCTTCTCCCCATATTGTGCTGCCCAGTGCAGCAGTCTGGGAGCTGACCTTGTTTGTGAAGACAGAGGCAAAAAAATCATTGAGTACATTAGCTTTTTCCACATCCTCAGTCACTAGGTTGCCTCCCTCACTCAGTAAGGGTCCCACACTTTCCTTGACTTTCTTCTTGTTGCTAACATACCTGAAGAAACCCTTCTTGTTACTCTTAACATCTCTTGCTAGCTGCAACTCCAAGTGTGATTTGGCCTTCCTGATTTCACTCCTGCATGCCTGAGCAATATTTTTATACTTTTTACATTTTTATAATAATGGGGATACTTATTTGGGCACCTCAGGGCACCTCCTAACTTTGTGAAGCCAGTTTTTAAAATGATCATTATAGTTACTGTTACTTCATATTTTGATCACATTACACTCTTGTGTGTTACTCAGGGCTTGGTCCAGAATAGCCTTTCCTCCTAAATGCTCCACAATGAACAGTTGTAATAAAATGTGTTTAAAATTTCTCAAAATTTTAATCTACAAAATATTCCCAATGAGGTGTTCAACTGTTTATCTTTTGGGCATCTGAACTCATCCATTGTTTTGCATTCTCTTGATAGGCCATGTTCACTACTGTTAGTTTCATCCAAAGCTGCTCCCCGCCACCCACCCCCCCACTCTCTCTCTCTCTCTCTCTCTGACCTGAGATTAGTATCCATACAGATTCTTCCTCCTTGCCACCAAAAATTTTCTTTTGCTAGCACCTTTAGCAACCCTCATGTATTTGGGCTTTAATTTAGTAGCAGTTGTTGCCTGTATGGTTAGTCTCCATTTCAATTTACATCCTTATCACCAGTTAAACTGGTAGTAAAGTAATAGATTTTGTCATACGTAAAGCGGCAACAGTGCTGGTTGCCAGTTTCTTGAAAAACGGTCATATTGTACATTGTAGCACCCCACCAGAAGCAATGCTGGCAGCTTGTCTGTACCTCATCCCTTCCAGTCACTGAATAAACTGTTGAAAGACCAACTAAAGCTGTTGTAAAGAGCTTGCAGCAGGTGGTATTGCCTGTGCCCATCAGTTTCCAGCCCACATAATCTGTCACTCGGTTGTGGAGAATTGGAGAGTGACTCAAAAGCATGGCTGTAAAATGATGGTAGCGATTTTGGCTCACACGCAGAGCCTGTTTTTTTGGGGGGGGGTATTCTTACTAAAATTAGTGCCATTGGACATGGAGATCCCTTGGGGTTGCCCAGCTGTCAGTGGGTATTTTGATGGTACCTGGGGTTTTTAACTGTGTGCACTTTTTTTTTTGCCTTGCTTCCTTACTCTTAGAAGAAAAACAGGGAAAAAATATGCTTTACTGAGCGATGCCTGAGAATCTACTCCTTTGCCAGCTGTGTACCACTAGGGCAGCTACATGAGATGTGGACTGTAAGAAAAACAGATTTTAATAAATCTCAGTTGCATGGTCATTACTTGGGTAGGAGGAGTGGAGCTCAGCTCACTTAACACAGTGTTTACATTTTTCTTAAACCTCATATTACTGCTGAATAAGGTGGACCAGGGTATTTGCAGAGCAGAATCCTTCTACTAGAATCTCTTTTACTAAAAGTGACTTTGTCGAATTGCAAGTGCTTGTCAGAATTTGTTTAATTCAAATTGATTATAGCAGCACAGGGACCTGCAAAGCCTGCCTCAGGGTGGGAGAAGGGACTGCCAAATTCTAGGGCAGACCAATATTCATTATGTGATTGTGGGGTTTGCTGCTCTCTGAATGCATTGATCTGCTTGTGGAGCCTGATTATAGAGGTGGAGAGATTAAATACAGGAAAGGGGATAGAAGGAGGAAGGGATGAGAGACTGATAAGTTTATGGAGGGGATGGTTTGATGGGATAATGTGATTTTAGTCCATAAGTCAATAACATGCCATCGCTGGTAATTAGTATCAATGGTCAGTGTGGGTCCGGCTGGAGAATCTTGCCCGCATGATCGGGGTTTTGCTGATCGCCATATTTGGGGTCGGGAAGGAATTTTCCTCCAGGGTAGATTGGCAGAGGCCCTGGAGGTTTTTCGCCTTCCTCCGCAGCATGGGGCAGGGGTCGCTTGCTGGACGATTCTCTGCGACTTGAAGTCTTTAAATCATGATTTGGGGACTTCAACAGCTGAGTCAAGGGAGAGAATTATTCCAGGAGTGGGTGGGTCAGCTTTTGTGGCCTGCATCATGCAGGAGGTCAGACTAGATGATCATAATGGTCCCTTCTGACCTTAAAGTCTATGAGTCTATGATAGGGTTATTAGAGAAAGGAAT